TATTTATATTTTTAAAAAATAAAATAAAATAATTCCTTTCTCTTTTTCTCTTTTTTTCTTTCTCTTTTTTTCTTCCTCTTCTTTCTTCTTCTTCTTCCTCTTCTTCCTCGGGTTCCATCGAACCCTCTGCTGGGTTCGATGGAACCCAGTTCTGGGTTCGGTGGAACCCAGCCTGGAACCCAGAACCCAGCTCCACTTTTTTTTTTTTTTTTGGGTTTATATGATTGTAATACCCCAAAATTTTGTGCTATTTTAGCATTTAAGTAAGGGTTTTTGTGTGAGAAAATATTGTTTTGGACTTAATAGCCAACAGTCCCAAAGTTGAAGGACTTAAAGAGGGAGAATTTGGATAAGGATGGCTTATTTCTTTTCTCCCTTTTCCTCTTTCTTCTCCAGCCCGTTTCTGCTCTTCTTGTCTTCCCGCTGCAGCCCGAGAGAAAAAAAAAAAGAGGAACCCAGCCATGCCTTGCAAAACCGGTGAGAAAGCTTGGAGATTTCTCCTTCCTTCTTGCTCTAGAACCTGAATTGGAACCCAGAAATTCTCCCCCCTGCATGAAGCTTTCGGATCTGCCTTGCTCTGCTCCTCACCGTCCGGCTGCTCCTGCTTTGTGGGTGTGATTTGTTCGGTTTTTTGGTAAGAAATAGCTCGAATTCTCCCTTCTCTAGCTTTGAATTGCCCTGGGTTTACTTTAATTGCTCGTGTTCCTCCAATTTTTGGGTAAACCCGTGAGCTTTCCCTGCAGCTTGCCGCCGGCCTCTTCCCCCCCTGCAGCTCCGGTTTTAGCTGGAGAATTCTGGTATGTGACAGCCTTTTTAGGCTTAAATTGTCCATTTTGTTTGCTGCCTTGTGTGTCCGAATTTTGCTAGAAAAATGGGGAAGAATTTGATAGCTTTAGGACCATGATTTAGCTTAATTCAAGTGAGATTTACGTGATTGAGTGTTAATTGCTTGTTGTGATTTTTGGAGAGAAAACCCCGTGAGATTATCTAGTGTTTTGGCCAATTTTGGAAGTGCAGTTACTGTTCACCGACACTGTTCACCGGTTACTGTTCACACCCCGAGGGCCAACAATTAACGGGGATTTAAATGATTAGTTTGTGATATAAGAACGATTTTGGGGGATATTTGATCATGTGGAGATTTATGGAAATAGCATTGTGATTAGGAATGATCTTAATGATGATTTCAGCTTGAATGTGTGATAGTCCGATATTGATTCTCGGATGTTTTGATTAGGTTCCCGATCGTTCTGTCAGTTAGTGCGTGACTTGAGTGCTCGGTTTTATGTGAGTGAGGTAAGTAAATTTATGGTAATGCCCGTACTATTTTAAAAGCATGTGTTGATTTGTTTTTTGAAGTGGTGGCGGGACTAAACTCGTTTTACACAAGTATGACTGATTTGAAGTGAAATGTTTTATGCTTTTCATTAAATTGAGCATGCCTACTTGAAATTTAAGTGACTGTCCTGATGATCTGAAAGTGATTGTGAATCGTGATTTTCCTGTTAACTTCTGCCTGTTTTGTCTCCGATGTGGTCATGTTATTCTTGACCCCGCTAGTGGGGGAGGTTACAAACGCTAGCACATGTCGACATGTTCGTGATAGGACCGGTTCGCTCTTGGCCCTACTAGTGGGGATTATACACTAGTACTGTTTGCCTACCAGTGGGAACTGGCCATGACCTATAGAGGAGACGTCTATTTCGTGCCTGTCCTGTATCCGTTTTTGTGATTGTACTTGTTGGCATGCTTTAAGTTTGATAAGGGGCACTCCATATTTACTTACTGAGTTTATCTCATAGTTTTCCTTGTCCACCATTTCAGGAAGTAAAACCGAGGACGGGGAAACCACGGGAAGTGACGAGTTAGAAAGCTAGTCATTTCGAGATTGAGCATAGATTTAGAAATAAATCATGATCTTGTATTTGGAGATTTAAATTGGAGATTTATGATATCAGAGAGTTTATAAAATTTGATCTTCAGATTTTGGTGGTATCAGAGTACAGTATGATAAGTTCCGAGCCTTGTGCATTTGTGGGACCCTTTCACGAGTGCACGGTGTCTGTCGCGTCTCGAAATCGGGTTTTGGGGCGTGACAATGATTGTTTGCCGTGAGGGATTTTTGGGTAACTAGTTTCTTTTTTTGTTATATGATTGTTTGCCAAGATATTTTCAAATTGCAGGTTGTTGGGAGAGATTTTTGGACAATTGAGTTCAATGAATTGAACTGGATTCTGTCGAACTTCAATCTTGAAAATGGAAAGAAATGAATCGAGCTGCGTTCTGTGAAACTTCAATCTTGAAAATGGAAAGAACACTCTGTCGAACTTCAATCTTGAAAATGAAAAAAACACCAGAAAATCTTGAAAATGGAAAAAACACCGGAAAGAATAGAAACAGTAACCGATGGCCAAAGGAGCAATTGGTAGTGGTGATGTGGGACCCATTGGATGGATTTGATGCGTTTTTGCCAAGTAGCATGTGACATGGCAAAAATTGTATGCATGTCATCACTTTTTTAAGTTTTGCTTTCCACATAATCAAAAAAAATATAAAATGCCACATCAACAGGGTTAACGGCTCAAATTAACAGAAGTACTAACGGAGTGCATTTCGTATAGTTGAGGGATTAAAAAAATGTAAAAAATTGTTGAGGGACCAAAAATGTTCATTTCTTAAAGTTGAGAGATCAAATTAAGCATTTAACCTAGTATTAATTATGTTTGAATAAATTAAAAAGGAGGAAGGAGATGAAGGAGAAGATCATATATTTTTGGTTAAATACCCTTTTTGGTCCCTCTACTATAGGAAAAAGCCCCTTTTTAGTCCCTGTACCGAAAAAATCCCCTT